TTAGAACCTATTTTACCATTTGACCCTGCTGGTAGATGTTCATTCTCATGCGTATCTCACTTACGGGGCTTAACAAGTTGACCTGCTCAGATTTTATCTAACCTCGGGTAAGGCTCAGGCAGAGAGGAAATGGCAGTCCTCCGTTCTCCACAACATAGAACATTCACCCAGACTGTGGGAAGGGCAGTTCCAGGAGACCTGTAAAGGGCTTGCAATTACATTTCTTACATTACCGTAAGTGACCCAGTTAGTAGGCCTTAAAGTGTTCAGAGATGAGTTCTTTCATTTACATTGTGTCCCTCTTATTGCTGGTGATAAGGTGAGTAAAAGACCAGAATCTCACTGACATAGATGGCAGAGAAGAGTTACATTTCTAGGAGGTTCTTCACATAATGCCAAGCTACTTTTCATGATAAACAGCCACAGAACTGAGATCTGCAACTTACTGGAGCTCATTGCTCTTGGAAAGCATGCACTTTTGCTCCAGGAACATGCTAAGTAAACATATTCTAAATAGTAATGTATGAGATGTTTGCAGTTTTTTTACTGTGCAAGGTTGCAACTGATTAGCTTTCCGGAAAGCAACTCTATCTGACTGTAGTCAATTCAAGTGTAAGGATTAATTGCAATTTGAAGTTTTTCGCTATTGGTCTGAACATGATTATGCTAAAAGGAAGTGTGCTAATTATTAAGGCAATGTATCAGCCTGTGTAGCGATAATAAGGATAATAAAACCACAATAACTTAGGTCAACAAACCTCATTTAGATTAAAATGCGTGGAAGCTGAGTGCTCACTTGTAACAGACAACTTCAGAAGGAGCTTCCTGCTAATCTGTGATAGAGTTTCTTACGGTCACGTTCATAAACAGGTTGGAGGTTTAGAGCTAGCCAGTCAAGAGTCTGTATTTTTAAAAGGGAAACTGTTAAAATCCAAAGGGCTGCATCACATAGGTTTGGCTTACGGTGGCAATATAAACATATACTAAACATATATAGGCTCTTTAAGAGATGTAACAAGGCTTTGGAAGATTTTTAGCATATGATGGAGAGAATGGTTTTGAAAGAACTGGGGAACAAAGTTTTAAATAAATTTGGTTAACGCTTTTTGGCTGGTACTTGGGGAATGGTGGGGGAGGATTGTACTTTTTTTTGTAAATGCAATGTTTTGAAGGGTTTCCACAGGAAAACGGTGATAGAGGACTCATTGGAAAACAAAGAGCTTTTGACTGACGAATGAGAATTTTGAACTAATGACCACATGGAACAATATGAAGTATTTATATTGGATTTCTATTTTATTCAGTTGTAATAATCTAAGGAGGAATGCATTTTTTTTTAGATAGCCAGATAACTAAAGGGAAAACTCTAGCAGAGTCTAATCTTAATATTGATGAGGGAAGTCTTTGCTGGAGTTACTTATAATTTTTTTTCCTGAGGAAATTATTTTAATCTGCTTCTACTGTGCGATTTCTTTTTACTGTGTGATTTCTTAGTGTGAAAATAGCAGTGTTAGATAAAGTGATTACTATTAGATAAACTGTATTTTCATTATAATAGATGAGATGTACAATATATATGAGTGGAAAATATGCCAGAAAGATTACACCTGTGTTCATGATTTTGGCTTCCTGATTTAATGCACTTAAATCATATTTTGGCCTCACATACAAAGTCTCATCACATAATATTTTCACTTGTCAGGGTATTTTTGCATTAAAGGGTAAGGAGAGATTACCATGTGGATGTTGTTCCTGAATCTGGTCTGGTTTTCTTTGTCCTACCCTGTTCCCTTTTTCTTGAATTCAGATTTCAAATGAGGTAAAGTAATTTAGGTTTTCATGGAATTACAACAAAGGTCAACCTTATGTGAGGCGTAAGTCATTTTGGAATGGAGACATAAGTGTTGTGTTTTTATTGTGCTTGCTTTGTCCTTGCAGATTTTAATGTATTTGCTTCACAGAGACAAAGTGCGTAGTAATATATCTTGCAGTGTCGGCTGAATGTATTTCATTTGTTCTGTATCTTGCTGTCTTTGTTTTCAGATAAGCCTTATTAGTTCAGAGACATTTAGTTTGTGCAGATTAATAAAAGTCAGGAAAGGAATTTTCAAATGAATCTTGAAAGCAAATCAGAGTAAGAATCATGCTTACTTATATGCAGAGAATGTTTTAAGAAGAAACATTACCTTATGTTGCTGATAATCAGATGGATATTGTCCTCTAGCTTATTACAGAGCAAATCTCAACGTTTTGCAGTTAGTGTTCTATAAAAAGAATATTACAAAACTTGATGACCTTGTTTTTACAAACCAAACAATAAGAATCCTCTAGTGTCTCAATGTCATCCACTGAGATGTTGCCTTTTTGGTGGGATAAGAGGTTATTGGGCAGCTGGAGAAGTGCATAATAGACTAAGCCTGAACTCAACTACAACATCTGCATATAAATTTGTGTGAATCAAGTTGCAGGAGGAATTTTAAAAGCAAAGAAAAATACAGAAAAGCTTGCCTTCTATTTATTTAGACTGCATGACTATAAACAACAATAAAATACATCTCTTGGCTCTCATCCATCTAGGATTCTTACTTAAACATCTTTTTACTTTATAATTTTGTAAATTAAGTTAATTAATTGTAATTTGAGTAAATTCTTACATAGGCAAATTAATAATTCTGTTTCTCATTAAATGACAACAAAATAAATTTTATGTGAGATATAAGCCAGAACGGGGATTCATGGATCAGAAATAGTCTTAGATATGTGTTTAGGATGAATGCAGAAAGCAACAAGTTGCCATGCCTGTCCTATGAATTGCTCTGCCTCAGGTCAGCTCCACTTCAGAATTGTATAGCCATACTATGCTTTGGTTAGCACAGACTTGCTACCACACTAAGCTTCCAGTCCAAACCTAGTGCAAAACCAGCCATGGAATGGGGCAGAGCAAGCTCATGACTGCTTGCCCCCTTACATGTATTTATAATCTCTTACCCAAAACTTTGGGTGTGAATTGTCTGATGTTATCATGTGAGAGGGCTAGCCTCAAGAAAACCAGACCTGTCTTCTAGACTTCAGGTGTCTTCTAGACTTCAGGTGTCTAAGATATTCCTAGAGAAAACTGAGAAGGGAACAAGGAATGAACTTGAAGAAGGCAGGATAGCCAGGACTGGAGAAGGTTCAGAAATGTAAAAAGCTAGGTGAATGAGCAGTGTGATGGCAGCTGAAATTCAGATGCCTTTCAAATGCAAAATGAAACACATCAGAAGGAATAATTTGAACTGCTCTTGCACGTTAGTAAGTTCTGAAATAGCAGGAAAGGACATAGGTATCACTGTGAGCAGCTGAAAGAAAATTTCTATTCAACATCCAGCGTTAGTCAAAAAGTCATGTAAAGATGCATAAAGAACAGGAAGGAAAATAAGATGTTCAGCAGACAGAAGACTGTCTTACAGTATCTGCAGGAAAGCAGATTACTTAATATGCTGTAGTGTTTATTCAGCACTGTAATGGTGGTAGTGTATACTTACCAGTGTTTTTCTATAGTTTACAATTGAAAAACTACAGCATAGGCATCGACAGCATTTAGTCATAATAGTCTTTTATTTTAGATGCAATAAACTATAATACAACAGTACAATCTATTATTATCTAAAGGTATCTAGATCTAACGATCTCTTGAATTTATAGAAAGAAGAGTAATAATAAGGTCAATCTTCTTCTTGTTGTTATAAATCAATAAAAATATTAAAAGTTTCAAATAAATCCATACAAGTTTGGGAAAGAGAGCAAGACTATAGCACAGAATCATTTCTGAGGAACTCTAAGTAGTGATTTTGAATGCTGCAAGTCTATGAACACTCAAGGTCCTTACTCTAAATTCTTGATTTTGAGAGTTTATAAAGAAATAGTTTTATAGTTCTTTTTGTGCAACGTAGAAGAAAGCTCACCCAGAAAGACAATGAGATTCTAGCTTTAGAAATGTATGCATAAATCTCTAGTATCCCATGGACAGTTCTTGCTAAACTCTCTGTCTGCTGTATTAGCATAGCTGGAGAGGCTGAACTGGGTATAGCAAACCTAGAAAAGAGAGGCTGGGGCCAAGGGAGAATGAAATGTGAAAGCGTCTAGAAAAGGTCACAAGACTTTGATTTTAGTAATTTTTATTTTAGCAGAATTCTCATATGGTCAAGTTTTCATCACTGGAGAACAAGAGACAAGTTCACCCTCTTCTGACCACCTTTATATTTTCTGATTTGACAGCCTTGGGAAGAAACATAATGGCTTGGTTGCGCAGTTTATAAGCTTTAGTTTATCATGCTGTGCAAGTTTTTCACAGTATTATTAGTTGCCGGCATCTGCAGTGCGTGTACATGGTGATATGTCAGAATTCCTCTCGTGTGCTGAATATGTTAATAATGTCTGGTTAGTTGTGGTTAGCTACAGGGGAAAAATCAAAAACTTCTACCAAGACAGTCTTTGTGGATGTGGCTGCTGAAAGATCAAGGACATCTTGGGAGCCCCAAAAAAGTACATGTTAAGAAAGTGAGGTTGTGTACAGCGTTTGAAGGTTAAAAGCCAAACCCAAACCTCCAACCTCAAAATTCAAATGAATCAAAAACATGTGGAAAATACTAGTCTAACAACTAATTAAAAACAAGCCAACAAAGAAACCTGGTAACATCACAGTAATATTTTAGCTGAAATAATTATCCAAAACTGTATTGTATCTGATTAATTAAACGTCCACTTACCAAATGCATCAAAGTACTAAAACCTAAGCTAAAACTAAAAACACCACAAACTGCACAAAATCATTGGTCTAATTCTGTCATGCTCCTGACTCGACAGCAAAAGGGTTTACGTTTAATTCAAGTACCAGAGTCCCCAGTCAGCTAAGCTGACAAGTTGTGTGGACTACTGAGATTTTTTTTGGTTCCCCATATTAGAAATATCATTCAGTCAAAGCATGAAAAAATTAATGATTGCTTTTTTCTGCTGCACAGAACCTGAAGCGCGTGGCAGAGACGTGGATGGATGAGTTTGCAGAATACATTTACCAGCGACGGCCCGAGTACAGGCATCTCTCAACTGGTGATATCTCTGCCCAGAAGGAACTTCGCAAGCACCTTAAATGCAAAGATTTCAAGTGGTTCATGGCTGCAGTGGCTTGGGATGTCCCCAAATATTACCCTCCTGTGGAGCCTCCACCTGCTGCCTGGGGGGAGGTGAGGAATATACAAATTTGATCAAGTGTAAATGGGTCTAACATTTTACATTACAGGAAATTAAAATTACGAAATTAGATTTGGATCCTCTGGCAAATAGTGTTATTAAGGGAGTTCATAGTGATTGGAACAATCCCAGGAACAGCCATTAAAATAAGAAACTGCCTTGTCTTAAGATTAATGCTGTCCCTCTTATAATTCATTACAATTTTGTGTGTACAGGCCATACGATGCAGGCACAAATGAGGATAAGAACACAGAGAAGAGTATATATCAGCAATTTTTGCATGTTACAAGATGATTTTAAATACTGAGACTCTCATTAACAAAAAGGAGACCTGAAGTCAACACATCTTTTTTGGATATCAAATTATATAATCTCCTTCTGTTCTTACAAGTACAATTCAGGAATGCTACTAGCTAGCGCATGGGTAAGTGGTGTTAGGTTGGGTCAGTTTTGCTCAGACATGCAAGTATGGCAAGCAGAATCTGGCTACTTTTCTTTAAAAAAGTGTTTGGTAGTCTGTGTTTGGTAGGTGCTGTCATGGCTGAGTACCATCAGCAGTCGAATGTAATTTCTCTTTTGGGGGACAGGGGAGAGAAGGGCAGGGAAAGGGAAGCATATCTTGGAGTCTAATTTAAGAGCTTGGGGTCAGCACATAGCCTGCTGGAAAACTCCTCAGGTGGTGGAGGGCTTTTTCCTCTATATTCATTAAGATGTATAAAGAAATCTTTACTTTATCGGTGTATTATGCTGCTTTTAAAAAAACCCTAGGAATAGCTGTACTGCCAGTTCTGCCCTTCTCTAATTTTGTGGAAGACGTTCTTGGAGCTCTCAGACAATTAGCTTTCATGTCTGAAAACAAAGAATGAAGTTGAAACTTTAACCAAAACTTTTGGTAAGACCCCTCAGACCTCTGCATATCCCTAGTAGTTATGGATGGTCCATGCAGGGGATCTCTAGACACTGTGTGATACCTTTACTGTTCTCCAGAACTTCTTAGAAAAAGCAAATTACCTCTTTGCCAGATTTTAAAAGTAACCTCCTGGTGTAGCAGTCCTTGATTTCTCTTTGCAAGCTACCAGCTATAGAAGTTCAAAGGAACTTCAACATATATGTGCCTTGCTGTACGCTACTCCTTGGCAATGGTGAATTTCCTTTGCTGTTAATGTTTCTTATACCTTTAATGCTGCTGCCTATGCTTTATGGGAATTAATTTATGCTAGCAGGTAACACAAATTTATCAGCAGAAGTCAGGCTGGGTCAGGGCTGTGTGACTGCTGCTGTGATCCTCCTTTCATCATCTCCTGCACACATTCATGTCCATCCTTGCAGGGCTCTGATCATGAGATACGTAACTTCTCTGGCCAACTGGACAATCCTTACCAAGGTTTAAGTGAATAAGATTGAGATTCAGATATTAATTATTTTCATAATTTTTATTTTCATAAAAATGTTAATACACTCTCTGCATAAAAGTAAGACTTTTTAAAAGTAAATCATAGGTCATAGTTGCGGCATCTAATTTGTACATTAAAAGGACCTATTGAGTCCTTAGGAAGGAAGCGAATACCACTGGCTTTCCGTTTCCTTTAAAATTTATTCTCTCTGAAATAATGAGACATTTCAGTCTTCCTGCTCTATTTTTTCCTGAGACTCTCACATTCCTGTGAAGCTTTAATTAATTTGTTGGCACTTGCAAAGAACTTGATCAAACTTGAAGGTCAATGGCTGTCATAATTAGAAGCTGAAAGAGGAAAACAGACTGTGTGTTATTGCTTTATAAGAATCGAGCAGCCCTAGAAACCTTGCTGACTATACCCATCAAGTCTGTGCCAAAACTGGGTGTCATTTAGTACCTTCTCTGCTTACACTTGGAAAGCCTTTGCGTCTGCTTGCCCATGCCAGTCTGAGAAAGAATAAACAATGAGGGTGCTCAGAAAATCTTTGGCTGCAGTATCTTGATACCTAGAGCTAGGAAAAGTGTGTGGTGTAAGAGCAGGCATCTCATAAACAGTCTATTCAAAACTCCTTTCTTTTTGCAAACACATTTACTTGAAAACTGTCTTTTAAATTTCCTGACAAAGTCTATTCCTGGTGGAGAGGAAGCAAATCTGAAAAACAAAACCCAATCTTCTTCAGTATAGTAGACATGGCCTTATCTCCTGTGCTTGTTTGTGCCTTTTGTCCTTTGTAGCTGGCAAGCAGTACATTTCCTTAGTATTCTGCTCTGCCTTTTAACGTCTGAAATAGGTGCAGTGAGACAATGTAATGCTGAATGCAGACAGATAAAGGTTAGTGAAGCTGTAATTTCTGTGTCTGAGTGAGATTGCTGTACAGTTTCCTCTCCCAACATGGGAAACATGGAAAATTTCAGTTAGTTTTTGTTCTTATCCCCCCACATATGTTGGAAAGTATGTTACCAGTTGAAAAAGAATAACAACTATCTCTTTTAAAGACACAGTAATGTATTTGTAATACGTATTTGAAATCCTGTTGAAGGAAGTTAAAACGGCTGGATTAGGTGAGATTTGGACAGAGGATGTTTTCTTAGGAAGTACTTGTGAATCTGCAAGTTGCGGTCCAATGTGTTTAGGTAGCACTGATATCACAGCCTCCAGCAATATCTGTGAAAACACATTTTACAAGAAATCAGTCATATCATGCCAGCTATTGTAATTTATTTTAGGCTTCATCAGTCCTATAGTCAAGGTCATATGAAAAAATAATTTATTTTCCTGAGTCAAAAGGGAAATATTTAGAGTTTAGCTTACTTTCTTGTTACAGGAACTTTTTCTTTGATTAGTTACTGTTCAGCAAGCCTCTCTGTCACTGCAGCCATGCTAAGTGATTGGACCTGAAAATACTCCTTCCTCAGTCCAGAACCCAGAACTCATGGATTGTATTGAAGCGTTTTAGAGCAGTGACATGCAAATGTCACACATGAAATATTCTGAAGTTAAATCAAATGGCACGTTTGAAAAAGGATCAAAACATAAGAACTCACTAACTTCTCTTTTGATTACTTTCTTAAGTGTCACCCTCATACCCTTAATGAATCAATCTGAGCACACCAAATGTTGCATGTATATTGTACAAAAGCGATATAACCAGCTATTCCCCAGCCTGTGCAAACTGAGTGCTGCCCTACTTCTGTGCTATCCCAATTCTTTCATCAGCATCAATATGATGCTTAATAGCAGTCCCTTGTTTCTTCAGTGTCTGGTATCTGGCAGCGCTTGACTTAACTTCCACTTTTTATGGTTCACACAAAGAATGAATGCTTTAAAAATTAGTATGTAGCAGTTGATAGGAAAGGTGGCTCATTTTTCCATATTTGATCCATAGACTTTGATGGCTTGATGGTTATCTAAGAATATATTGTTTTACGAAGCAGCATAGTAAAACTCGCTTTAACTGCATAGTAAAACTCGCTTTAACTGCTGCTCAAATAACAGAAGAACACATAAGCAAATGTTGCTAATGTCCTCTAAAAGCTACAGCCACCTTCTTATTTGGGGCGCTAAATCACAGTGTGTGGAGAGCATTATATAAATTGGTAGACCTCAGGTGCCTCTCAGGTTGCTGTCTTGCGCTGGGCACCATAAGGAGAGTCACGGCACCATCTTTGCGTGCATCATTGGAACAGACAACTATATTGAACATAAGGTTATCTTTAGATTGCCACACTTCCCTATTTTTAATTTTGGCCCAGATGATTTTGTGCAGAGATATGCATGCAGTACAGCTCCCAGGACCCCAGGAGTCCTCTCCCTCTCCAGCTCACCAGGACAGCGTAAGTTGGTGTGGCTGAGTGACCTCACAGCTCCCCTGCAGGCAGGGCAGGGCAGGGCAGGCGCTGCTGGAGTCAGGACACCACCTGTTCATCTTGTGAATATTGCAAGAACTAGAAGCAGAGCCTCATTTCCGCAGAGCCTGTGAGGGATGTTAGTTTAGGAATAGAATTATTGAAGACCCAAATTGTTCAGTATAGCCACTGGAGCCAGGGAAGTTTTGATTTCCCTCCATCATTTCTTTTTCAGGCTAAAATAGATTCCCTTAAAAGATGGGAGAAAATTCACTTGGCTTTTAAGAGAGTGGAGGTGGGGGGTTATTTTATTTATCTTTTCCTTCCAATATGGAGCATATATGTGTGTCATTACACAGTTCTGTCAAAATGGTCCTAAAATTCATCCTGGCAGGTTGTATCAGTGGCCACTAACCCTTTTTTATTCAAAAGACTTTTGTTTTTTCTGACAAGAAGATTACAGTGGTAATCAATATATCTATTGCTTTCCAATTTGCCTAGGTACTAATGACAAATACTGAGTTTTTAAGGGAATAAGGAGCAAACTGTTCATACCTGTGTCTCCCACGGGGAGCAGATTCAATCATGTTACTGGTAGCTTTTTACAAAACTCCAGCATTAATTTAGCCTAAGGTCAAGTTATCTGGAAGACAATCTATTCTGCAGTGTGTAAACACTGGTTGGGAACCGCTGTTTGTTTGTTTCTTTGTTTGTTTGTTTTTAGTAGATTAGTCTGTAAGTACAGCTCCACTTTCCTATTTTACTTCCTTCTGGCAATACGTGCATCAACAGGCTTGGTTGATGCTTAGAATGTACTGCAAGGTTTATCTTCAGATTTCCTCTGAAGCTGTGGAGACTATGGAACTCGTTGAGTTATGCCTCAGCTGGTTGCTGATGAATGCAGTATGTCTATTTAGCTCTAGAAGGCTTTTAACATCAACCTAGTGTGGAAGGACAAGCCAAAAAAATGGATACTGGAACCAAAGTGTATGCCTGAGGGCTGTGGAAGTTGGGGAGAAGCTCAGACATAAGTGAAAGAGGAAGGAAGTGGTGAATGAGGAGAGGAGCTGGCAGAGGTACCTTGATGTAGTGAAGAGAAATATCCATATCAGGATGGGGTGGAAAGGTGGGAGATAGCAGAAGGAAGAAAGAGAGAGGAGTTAAGAAACCCCTAATACGTCATAATGTCTAAAGCTCTGGTATGTTTCCTTGCAAAACAAAACTCAACAAGTACGACCCCCCCCAAATATCAACAGATATAAATATTTTTCTATCTGTATTGTGTTTTTCTGGAGCAGTGGTTGAAAATGATGCTGTCCTCCACTAGGTGTTGCATTCCTCATTTGCAGAGTCAGCCAGCTCCACTCAGTAGTGTTAGCGGTAGTTTAAGGAGAGCGCTTGCATGGCAGAGCACTTACATGAACTGAGCTCCCTCTTTCTTAAGGCCTCACCTACTCTACCAAAAAGTCTTTTTAACACTGGCTGACTAAAATTAGAGAAAGTAATTTCTAGTTTTAACATGTGTTAACTGGTTTTGGTAAAACCCAAAGATTACTGTATTTAAGCTTGCTCAATGATTTTTTTCTTATGGTTTGCTGCCTTGTTTAAAGCACAGAAGTCGGATATTACAACAGCAGAAATCTCACTGAGTTAACTTTCCTTTTTCCTAGGTTTAGGTGCAGCACTGAAAAGAGCCTAAATGTCCTTGCTCTAACATCTCCAGTATAGAAGAGCAAGAAAATAAACCTTGCATCTATATTCTCTGTGCTTTTACACCTCATCAGCTCTCTATAGGGATTATAGGGCCCATAGTCTTAGTATCTGCGTCCCAGGTGCATTAGGTTGGCATTTTAGGAACTGAATGTGCATAATGACATGCATATAGAGTGTCCCATGCTTTTCTCAGGGTATGTTTACTTCTAAAACAGCCTTTCAGATCACCTTTAATCATCCCTGTTAGTCCACACAAACTCCTTAAATACATGCTTTTCCCACACACTTATCTGTGTGTACACATGATAACATTTCAGTATGAATAAACAAGCTCTGTGTTTAGCAGCTCTATGCCCTACCTGCATATATGATAAAATCTTTCTCCTGCTTGTCTCCAATCTCCACAATTGCACAAATACAAATGTTGGAAATGTGGGTGTATTAGAAGTTCTAGCTTTTTCTTTGCTAGCTGTAACTCATAACCTAAAAATTAGAAATCCATTGTGCCATTTGATTGGAGACAAAGAAGTTCAAATGCGTGTTGATGGAAGACAAAATAAACCCTCTCCTTGCTGTGCTCCTGCTTTCCTTCCTTCTTGCATGAAAGGATCTTAGGGAATTTAGAGGCAATGTGGTGCTGGTGTTCAGCAGAACATTCCCTGTGGTTCTGGCAACAGCTTGATGGCTCAGTTCAATTTCTAGTGACTGCCAAGGCCACACAGAAATGCCAGAGAACAAAAGCACAAACTTGACTGAAATGCCTGTATGACAAAAAAGAAAAAAAAAAAAAAAGAGAAAGCGAAAAACCACAACCCTTCTGCAGCTGAAATGAAGAATGAAGACAAAAAAAGGATGAGCTAACACCTAAGCTGCAACAAACCAGAGAAAAAATGAACTTGAGGAAACCTTTCAGGAGCAGAGAGAAGAGCAGAGGAAATAAAGAATACAGGAGACAGATTTCAGCAATGAAGAAACTAAGCATAACTTCAGTTAAAATCTTTTCCAGCTGTGCATAGGATAAATATACTGCATAGCCCAAAAGAGTAAGAACAGGATACAGCAATGCCATCTAGACAAAATTTTGAAAGCCCCTTAATGTCATAAAGCATTCAGTGGAAGTGTATTCATGGTCACTTTACAATTATAGGTCATATAAATATACCCCAAATATTAATGGTAATTATTAGCATCTCTGTTTTAGTTCATACGCTCTGAGAACAGAACTAAAGAGACTGATAATGAAGTAGCATTTAATTTTGCATTAGGTCAGTAATCTTCGTACATGAAAATTTAAGTGCACTGAGAAGTGATTGAACACTCTTTAAACGAATGCTACTTGGAGTAGATTTTTAACATAAGACTTCAAAAATATAAAATTAAAATCTATTCCCCTCATTTTTTCCTGTCTTTTTGCTGGATGATATAAAAACGAAGGCAGGGTTGTTGAGAACTGATTACCTGTTATCCCTTTTTCAGTTAACATGACTCCTTGTCCTCAGTGCTGGGTTTCTGCATCTGGTTATGCATATGAAATACTAGCGTTTGACCTAATCTATAGCATTTGTATTGCATCAAAATAAGAAGAAGCACGCTAGAAGTGTGCTCATCCATGTTTTAGAAGAACACTCCTCTGAGCCGTAATGAAGGCTCAAAGGTTCTTGGAGCCAATTGCTCAAATTCGTAATCACACCATTTGCCCAATCTGCTCTTTTGCAGGCTAAAAAAATACACTTCCTAACACCTTTCCTGGAGGTGATTTTTTTTTTAATTTTATCCAGTTCCTGTTGCTCTCCCATCTGTCTAAGTCTTTCTTAGAGCATGATGTATAGACTTGATTCCTATCCTCCAGCTTCAAAAAAGAGCACAGTAGCTCTCCCAAGTGCTTTACAAACATGAGGATTGCCCCCTTTTTGCATGTTTTGTGCTATACTGAGAAGTCTTTCATCCTTTTTTTTTTTTGGTGAGGTATACAGTGTTTAAGTGTGGCAGTGTTTACATTTGTCTAATCTGGCAACCATGGTGACTTCTAGAAAATTTTCCATGGAGAATTACAAATGCCACTTTGACTGTAGCTCCATTCAGCATCTGGCCTTTATTTTTTGTTTAAATAAAGATCAAAATAGTTGCCAGAACGTCAAAATGTCTCCCCGTTTTGTATATATTTCACATATAGAATTTGTGCACGTCTCCATGCAGGTACCTGTGCTTTGATTGCTCAGTTTGTGTGTATCTTGCTGACAGAAAATTTTAAGGAATCCTCTTCATTCTACAGGCGTCTAAAGGATTTGTAAACAGCTCAATTAAGGTATTCAAGGAGACGCATAGAATAGCAAAATAAATTTGGCATTTTCCTCTTTTTACCAGCACTTGCCACACCACTCCTTTTCAGTCCATTCTTCCAAAAATATATAGAGAGCAGCGTATGCAGTGGTGGTACATAAATGGTATGACTGATAGTCACAGATTAATTATGACTCAGTTGCTTCAGTCTCAAACATGAGACTTCCCTTTTGAGAAGGGGCTCCAGTGCAGGTTGCTCAGAAGGCATACAGACAGCATACAGAACCTCCGTGGGTGAGCACAGTTTCAGTACTAACGTGTTAAGAACTTTTTAAATTTTTTTCCATGCATGAAACACTGGTCTGTGACCTTATCTGCAACAGTATTTTCATGTTGAATTAGAAACAAGTATTAGAAGAGGGTGTGCCTGCCTTTTGATAAATATTGCTCTCAGGTCTGAGAGGAACTCAAACAGAAATCATTTCCTCGTAATACACTTGATCTCACGTTTTCTGATAGGAGAAAATAAGCAATCAAACTAAAATGTGAACTTTTCAGATTTTCTTCTCTTAGTTTCTTTGCATGAAAGTATTTCTTATGGAGCTACACTCCATTTGTTAAGCAGAATATTTCAAACTTTGCTGCTTCTATAGCTGGTTCAAAAAAAAAAAGCTCACTCCGGGACATGGCTGTCTGCCATGTAAAAAGTCCCACCAGTTTTAAAAAACTTATGGTGAGTCTCAAGACCTTCAGTTTCTGTCTAAAATAAGAGAGAGCAAAATTCCTAACTCCTTAATGTCAGAAGCTGTATTCTGCAGCCTGGTTTAATGTGAAATGTTGCTGCTTGGTTTTGCAGATTCGAAACGTGGCAGCCAATCTCTGTGTGGACAGTAAACATGGAGCCACAGGGACTGAGCTGAGGCTAGACATTTGTGTGAAGGATGGCTCAGAACGGACATGGTCACATGAACAGGTATTTTAACAATGAAAAGAGAAAAGCAGTGTAAAATTGTTGCTTCTCTTTTCAAATTTCTAAACCCTTCCCTGAGGTTTCCTCCTTTTCTTAAGGCTAAGCAAGAAGTTGTATTTGAACTGTTGCTGACCTTAAGAGCTTTTACCAAGTGATCTGCAACATAACCTCAGAAATTCCAGCTATTGCCTGTGCTGTATGTTCTTTTTAATTTCCAAAAGGAATTGCAAAACTGGAAGAGGTTTTGGGTGTCCCATTTTCCCCTACTTTGTTAATAAAAACGTATTGATTTCAGTCCTGTTATTCTCAAAAGTATTTTAAATATACTACCTATGCATGTAAAGCTCTAGTGGTTGCCTCCTTTTATCCTTTCATCTCAATAAGCTCAATGAGTGAAGATGAGCAGGGAGGGCTCAAAAATAGAGGCCTGATAAAGGGCTGAAACCAATAGGTGAGAAGGATGATCTGAGTGGTTGTATTTTAAATGAGTATGCAAGATAAATAGGGTGAAAGCCAGAAAGAGAGGATTTCACAAAGACAAGGGATGATAAAGGCTCAAACAGAGCTTTTATCTAAGTTAGTTTGTTAGACGAATATTCCATACTCTCAGGAATATGGAAGAAAAGAGCTCTGATTTGTACTCAGTGTGGTTGTGAGTGCCATAGGAAAGAGATTGTGATTCACAGGCCAACATGTGGCAAAGAGAATCAGGGAGAAAAAGCACCACCTCATCGTTTATTAGCAATCTTAGTGAACGTGCCTTCCACAGGACAAGGCCCCAGATCAGAAGAAATCCACAACGTTGAGGAGAAAAATTCACCTGGCGGTCATACGTGGCACATAAAGAGCTTAAAAGCTGAGGAAAGAGGAGTGCTGAGGGATATTTGAAGTGTTGAGGTCAAGAAGCCATTCTCTGAGGATACTGGGAAATGCAAGGGGAAGTATGCAAGTGAAGTTCTCTAAGAAGCAGAAGGGCAGTCACAGTTTACTTTAGTGCCTACACACGGAAAAGTTGCTGGAAGAAGGCTTCTTCTTCGCCTAGCTAAGATACAACACGGTGGCAGGATGCTGAGATTAGATCAACATAATCAAGTTTTGTTTGTTAAAGATACCAATGATTCAAGCAATTCATTCAAGGAAGTCCTATGGTGCAGACTCAGTCATCACAGTAGTCTCTGGCTTTAAAATCTACAAACCCTAAACAGGAAAGGAGGGAATCCTGAGACTGAGAGAGATGAGGAAAGAGAAAGGAGTGAAGAAAATAGGATAAAAAGGTGAGAGAAGAAAAATTTTGGGAGGGAAAACAGAAAAAAATGAGGCCTGAAATATCCTTTGAAGAAAGAAGTTCTTGTGAGGAAGGGGAAGGGATAAAAAAGGAGAAGAATTTTAGGAAGGGGTCTGTGGTTTAGCGTATTCCAGTACATTAATATGTTTGGAATCAAATTCAGTGCAAAGGTGACGTTCTGCACTAATGACAAAAAGGGTTAAAACTAATACAAAAGGAGTTTAACCAACTAGCTCCTCAGGAGGAGAATCAGAGCTATGATGCTTTCTAAACTGCTCGATTTGGGCTTCACAGGCAACATGAATTATTTCTGCGTAGCTAGTGTGGAACAGCATGTACGTTCGCACTACAGAAGATTATTCAAAACACTGAAAGGGAACATTTCTCGGAACAGAGTGGTACAGTTGCCCTGGGAAAGGACTGCCGAGACCCAAGCCAAGCCACTTAATTCAATTTACTGAACAGACCGGTGCCTTCTCTGGGCTGCTGCAGAGGGGCGGGGTACAAACCCTCCGCAGGATCACACAGCTGATGGTCCACTTCCATACACATTTCTCTCCTTTTCAATAGAGTTGCTTTTTTAAATGTGTAGTTCAGAAAATAATCAGCAGAGGGCAGCTCCGGACAAGCGGAAGACAAATAGGCAGCAAAGGAAGGTGAATGACTTATTGACTCCGGGAGCTTTTCTGTCGCGAGAACTAGAAAGAAACGGAGCTTTACAGATATGACAGAGGTGGGAGAAAATCAGTCGTTTTTAAAATGCCTTCCCCCCCCCCCCCCCCCCCCCCCCCCCCCGCCCCCGACTACATTCCACTATTTAACCTCAAAACTGCTTGCTTTTGCCAAAATGAAATGGAGTTTGATTCTGTTCAGTTTATTGTGACAGGTGCTTACGCTGCTTTCAAAAGTTGTTCTTTCCACTGATAGGAGCAGAGTTATTAGTTTATCCCCCTGTCAATGTAAATCTTCGAAATCATGTGAGATATATTGAAGAATCTTGAGAAGAAATCTAGGGTAACATAATGTAATTTCATTTTCTCAAAAAAAAAAAAGAACTTTGTTTTCCAAACCTACAGCATATAAGTTTTAGAGGAACGATGACTTTGTTTAAGGATCTGGTATAATGTCCATCACTGCACTGCTGAGCAACTTTTTATTTGCATAGTCCTAGTAGTTTTAATATCCTCTTGGTTTTTGGATTGGTTTAGAAACAAAATGTACCTTAATTTACTCAAGTATTCAGACCCCGATATGAGACACATTCATCTGGCTGATAGATTTGAAGGGTGCGTTTGTGCAAGGTTCAGGTTTTAAAGACGCCAGGTGAGATGGCATAAGTTCCAACCTGGCAAGCAAAATCTGCCTGTATGTTGGTGACAGTTGATCAAAGTGTCAAGAGGTGGTTTAGGCTGGCATATTTTGATAGAAATTTCACTAGCTCTCCTTACTTGATTCCCAGGGCTGCCAGGTCAGGAGCATTACCTGCAGTGCACTGTAGAATTGCAGTCAAATGAAATAGCTCCCAAAGAAAAAGTATGTGATCTACTTGCACCACAGTCAGCCATGAAAATTAGCTTTGTTAGGGAGTGTTTGAGAAGAACTGCAAAACACCTGACCCTCAGGTAGCTCCTCTTTATCGCTTATATCTTCTTGAATTTGATGTTTGTTTCTATATATGCTGGGAGAAACTGGCACTGTTAATGAAAATGTTGGGCATTTTAGTATCATTTTTTAAATTGTGTGGATTGTCATTGAGCTGGTCTTGTGACTTCTGGTATAAATTTACAGGAATTGTGTGGAATAATATAGTGGCTGGATATAAACCACGTAGCAAGTGTTAGTGCTGATCCTAGCACTAGACAGAGATACAACCCTTTGTTCCACTTTATTGCGTCAAGTTACCAGGGTAGAAAATAAATGCAGACTGAAGATGACCTTCCACCCAAGGGTTTTAAAAGCAGGTGCTTTTAAAGCAGACAAAAGGTTACTGCACCAGTTTTGCAATTTCTGATGAATGGAGGGAGGATCAGAACTGAGGATGAATGTTGCTGTAGCTTCTGGAAACTTCCCCACAATTAAAAACGAGAAAAAAAAGGGGTCAGGAAGACAGCACAGCCCAGTCTTCTTTCCATATCTGTCTTTCAAGAGCTAAATTCTGACTTTAGAGAAAACTAAGGCTCCGCTGGGCTGTTCAGACAGCAGCAGAGTAAAATGACAGGCATGAACTTTGTCCTCTCCAGTCCCTCAACTTGATCGGGGGGTAAGTGGACATGTGTCATCTCTAACGTGGCCCAGCAATAACCAAGCAACCTGCCCAGCTTTCTTCTTTGCTTGGAAATATAATTCAAGCCAGAGTCTAGTTTTGAAATGTGTTGTTTCCTCTTAGTACAGGGCATATTTTGTCTGCTTAAATCTAATGCTGTAGTCCAAGCACAACAGCAGCTGACAGACCCCAGCCGGAAAGCTAGTAACTGAATAACGTTGTCAAGCTGGAAAGTATTAATGGTATCAAAAAGGTCTTTGTCCTATCGACAGTTCCAAACCAATAGCTATTTCAAGTAATCATTTTTCAGACGCAGTGCCAATTACAGATTAAGCTCTTTTTAAAAAATGAGGCAACTGGAAAGCTGTATTTTTCCAAGTTTCTTTGTGACAGGGCTAGGCCTCATCAAAAGCTAACACATGAAGGTTGAGGGGTTACTTGGTTGCAAATGCAGAGGATGGGGCCTTAGGGCCATGCGATGTGATATGAGAGAAGATGGAGGTGGAGAAGCGAGTGCCTCTTGAGCAAGAAGGACGGAGAGTGTTACTTGGACTCAGCGCCAAGTAGAGTGAATAGCAGCCCTGGAGATTACAAGTGAAAGAAATAGCCTGCTATTTGTTGCTAACGTGTTTGGAAACTTATGTGCAGGCTTGTTTCAAATCAACAAACAGACAGTTGTGAATGAAGGAGTGCACAGGGGTTTTCATCCATTTCTCAGTCTCATAAAATCAGACTCAGGTGGCTCCTAACAGCTTCAGCTAAAGGAGCAAAAACATCCAAAGTGAAAGGCAGGTGAGAAAGTGGAGCATTATGTACTTAGGACTACAACTAATAACATGTAGTATTGTAACAAGTTATGCAGAGGAAAGATGATTGTTTTATTGGTCAGATTTAGTGGTAAACTTGGCAGAATTTACTGTATAACGGACAATGGCACAGAATGATGAGATTGGAAGGACCATAAGGCCTTAGAATTTTATCTATAAGATTTTAATATTAGTTGGGGTGTAGAGAAGTATCACCCTTTTCCCAGTCTTGTATTTTCTCTTCTCCTTAGTCTTAAAACTGAGTTTCTGCCCCAGCAGTAGTAGTATCACCAGGGAGAAGATGGACTTGTTACTTTAAAAACAAGATACCACTTTACAAAACAGCAGGCTAAGAAGGAGGAGAAAAAAATCTCTGCTAGTCTAAGAGTTGAGATCTGGTGTTAGACAGACTCCTTCTCTTCTCTGTTTTCCCATGGAAGGGAATATAAAAATCTTACCGTTACCAAGTCAAGATTCTTGACTTTCACAGAACACAGCCCTAGCGGTCGACAGAAACCATGCAGGAGTGGAAACGGGAAGGACACACTGGATCAATATGGTCTGCTTTAAAAGTTGGCTTGACCTCTTTTAGGTGTACTGATGTGGTGCGGTCAGTGCAGTGGTAATCCTCAAGCCAAGGTCTAGTGAACGACAAGAATGGCCTCTCAGATCACCGATCATGCACAGAGTGAAGAATTTGGAGAGACTCACACTGGGAAAGACTAGAAAGTGTCCTGCAAGAGGATCTCTCTCTTGCAAAGTAGGCATAAGAGTGAGAACATCATAGAACCACACCACTGGAAAGTTTGGATACCTAAATTTCTCTTGATATTTGTTATTCACTGTTTTGAGCCCTAAGTTTATTACTTGTTCTGTAGAATAGTAAAGGGTAAGAGAAAGGCAGTGTCTTTTCCTGTTCCTTCCCTTAAAGGAAAATCATCTCAGGATTCTCTTTTTTTCTAAAGAAGCAGCATTGTTGCTTTTTGCCGTATCAAATCTTGTTTCTCACTTTGCTTGTGACATGATAAAGTATCTTTGCATAGAGTCCATGACGCTGCTTCTGCAAAGCACAAAGAAAAGTGGAGAAAGACTTAGCCTGTTAAAAAGCAGGAATTGATTTGAAAATGAAGTTAAAATCATCCACTGCATTTTACTGCAGATGAGTGTAAAATGCCTTCTGGAGGAAAGAGGAAATAAGCAGGACATAGGGGCAGACCAGAAAAATACAGGCTAGAAAACCTATAATATAAAAGTAAATAGGGAATGACAGCAGCTAACAGAGAGTACAAGAGCTTTCAATGAGGCACACAACACAAAAGACAAATGTTTGGATATATGCTTATATTATGTGCCTGCAGGCAAAGAGAAACAATAGTGCTTCTCAAATGCAGCATTTGGAGGGTGCTACAGCGTTGAGGATGCGTCATTTTTAAAAGGTGTATATTTTAGGAAGACCACAAAAAGAAGACAGGTATCAGAATGAAAGGATTAAAGTCTGGGAACCATAACAGAAGTACTCAGGATCAGAGCCACATCACATTGAGCTCAACAGTTAGTTTAGTTTGGATTTGTATATATTGGCTCTATCAGGAAATATATACATTACTGGGCGCAGAGTGGTATATAAACACTGAAGCTACCTTTAAGTGAGATAGCTGAGGTGCTGGATGCAATTGAAACGCAGTATGTGGGGCTTCTTTTCAGGATAATAAGCCTGCATGGAGTTCCACCTGACCTGTCATGGCTAAACAATCTCCACTAGCAAAGTTTGCTCATTTAACAGGGCTTGACTCCCTCGATGTTATGCTTCAGTTTGTACTGTGGGAAATCAAAAGTCACTCAGAAAGAAAGACTGAGCACAGAAGAGCACTGACGCAAAAGAGAAAAAGGGAAAAACCCTCCCAGCTCTCAGCAGAGCTTCTAGGTAGCAATTTATAATCTGCAGCCTGTTTTCTGCACTGATTGGTCCATAGGAAAGGAAAATGCATGCTGCATCTTTAAATTTGATGCTGTCAGACCTGTCACCTTCATCTTATGATTGAAAGACTGCAATGTCATGGCATAATTTCAGACAGCTGGTGCCTGATTGAGAAGGATTCTTCTATTAACTGTAAGCCTCCAGGAAAAAAAAGAAGGGCTTTAACAAGCTGCATGTAGATCACAGGCTTCACAATAGAAAGATGAAGATCATTTAGTGTGTGTCATTTTGGAAGAGAGAGAGCAGAGAGAAGGCATGCTAAAAGTGTCCCATAGAAACAGAGGAAACTGTTGATTAAACATGGAAAAAATACTGTAATGGAGAGCTCTCTCCAGGTAACTTCTTGAGACCCAAATGAGAGTTAGGGGAATGTCACTAGCATGAGGCCAAGACAGAGACTTTCTGAATGCGAAGTAGTCATAGTTCTAGTATATGTGAATGCTTCTTTAATTGTGGTAACTTAAAGTTTTAATTCTACAGCATATTCCCTCTCCTCTTCCTAGAACTGTGTCACCAGAGATTTTTTTCTTCCCTGCCATAAACTGGTGAATGTGTCTTCTAGGGGTATATTCCACATTACTGTTGATGCACTTCTTTAATTCAGGCAGTTGGAATCACTGAATCATATGCATGTGTGTGATTAAATGCGTATCTCATTTAATCAACAGCTGTGATGTATGGAGTAGGAAAACATGAATCAAGCTATGTGTATGTTTCTAAATGTCTTTCATTACTAATATATTGTTATCTTGCCTGATCATTCTCCTAGCTCTTCACCTTTGGTTGGAGAGAGGACATCCGCCCCGGGGAACCACTTCACACCAGGAAGTTCTGCTTTGATGCCATTTCGCACAGTAGTCCTGTCACACTGTATGACTGTCACGGGATGAAGGGAAACCAGCACTGGAGCTATAGGAAGGTTGGAGCCACTCTAGGTCGTTCCCAGAAATTCAGTCTATCTTAAGCCTGTATTCAACTCAGCATAGGCTTGTGTTTTCCCCGTTAGAGAAGTTTTGTTTTAAAATCCACTCTATCCTACTCCAGTTTAGTTTTGTTTTAATCTCTAATGTTCCTTTTGAACATTCAACTATGTAGGTCAAAGTTAGATGAATATGGATCTGATGCAGCACAGAGGGTGTCTGTGCTGGATCTATTCCCTGAAAGACATTTTACCATTCTGGCACTTCAAGACACGTGTCTTTTTAACAGAAGCACTATTGGAAATATTTTCATCCAATGTGACAGCAGCAAGAAATGCTGCTCATGAGTTAAATATTATTATTTTACTACGTTTTAAAGATTACAAGTGATACAAAAATATGTCCAAAAAAACCCCAAACCAACATTAAAAGCACTGCTGTAAGCCCACAGAAGGAGGGAGTTTATAAATTAAAGATAAGCACTACTTTGCTAAGACGCTAAAGTAAGACACTACATTACTTTGATCTGCTAAGTTTCAGCCCTTTTTATAAATCACTGAAAACATGAGGTTAAGCTAAAAACTGTCAGCACCTCGTTTAGGCAAACAAGTCCTGGTAATGCTAGCCAGATTGGGGAGAAAAAAAAAAAGGCTAACCAGCGAGTTGTTTTGATTAACTATTCCACTAATAAGCCCTGTATTGCATAAATACTGTAAAAAGGCACAGGCTAGTAACTGGGCCCTCAAGAAAAGTGTCAGGCAAAACTATTTTTAATGATTATAAATTGGTTCGCTACTATGTATCATTTAAAACTGTGACTTTGCCATATAAACCTCAACAGTGTTTTCTAGTTTTGTATGGTAAACTTTTTTGGAGTGCCCAGTTACTAGCCTGTGCCTTTTCACAGGATTTATGTTGCAACTGGAGATGCACAACAAGATTTTCCAGAAATGTAATCCCTTTGAAGCTGAAGTATTACCTGTAATACAACTAGAACGTATGGGACAGATATTTATAGGACATAAACTGTCATGGCTCTGTTGCCACATATCTGGCTTTATAATGCCATAATAATGCTTTCTTGCTTCAGAACCTTTCCGATTTATCTTTGTGCCTACCCGAGCTGCAAGAAAGGAGCTTTCATACCTTTAGCACTTCATTGGTGCCTAATGTAGCAGGTTCATATGACAAAATGCAGGTCTTGCACTGCCCTCTGTTTGGCTCATCACCTCTGATGTGGACAGAACGCAGACAGCCAAAGAAATAATGACATTTGAAAAAAATACGCAGTGTGAGTTCTGTTAAATCCTCTGCACAGCTTCAGTTTTCATTACCCAGAAGGCTTAGAGGGCTCATATAAAGATTCTCAGTGCAAGGCAGGTGTTTACATCTCAGCAAGAAAGCCCTCAACGTTTTTTTTTGAGATGGAAGTACTGACAGTCTTAACTGTAATATAAACCTGACAGCAACCTGATTAGTTTGCATAAGCACTTACTGTTTGGCTATAAAATGTCAAACTAAGAAACAGTATTGGAATGATAAAATTATGGATACTTTTTTTAGGCATAGTTTTAGTTTGGCTACACATTAAGTAGTTTTTGAGTGTTTAACACAGTTGACTTGCTCTGATATAAGGCAGGTTTGTATTAGAGATATTTGGTGGTACAGCTATACCAACAATCCTTATCTAATTTTGAGAGCATCTTGCCAATAGGATTTATACTGTTTCCCAAATCGAAGTAAACTATGTAAGCAAAAGGTTTAACTGCATCTGTACTAGAGCCCTTTCTAGCATGGTATGCCACTAAAACTGCACCCTAAATAAATAAGAGTAACAGCCTGTTTAGTAAAAAAAAAAAGAGCAGGTCAGCAAGTCTGTTCTCTTCTCTGCACTACTTACAGAAGCCATACCTTCCTAATCGCATATCCATCTCACCAATAATTTTCTCCGTGTTTTATGAAGAATGATTTTGTTTGTCAGTAATCTTATAAGATGCTTAATATAAAGCAATTTTTACTATGCTGTCATACCATTCCTATAAAACTAGAAGATAAGAGCATTTGATCTTACGGATCAGTCTCTTTTCATGAACATTTGCATTCTTAAGCTACTAGTAAAAAGAAATTAGGCCTATGTGCCTATTTATTACACAGTAAAAGAAATTAGGCCTATTACAAAGTGTTGCAAATACAGTTTTAAGTCAGACACTGCTTTAAAGTTCCATATTTTTATAGTATATGAACATTAGTATTTGGATACTGGCAAATAAAAATATTTAAAATATTTTCCTAGCAAGTAAAATACGTTAATGTTTTACTCTGGGTGAGAAGTGCTCCTCTGAAAAACGTTTCCAGCTCATCCCCACTTCCTGTACTTTATTTCTCATTGAAGTGCAGTCTCAAAGCATGTAAATGGGATTCTTTTCAAATGAACTAATCCAAAAGAATTTCTCCCACTGCTAATAAACATGCAGACTCGGCACTAGACTTTTAGTCCAAAGCTGTGGACGTCAGGTTGCCAGTACTTGCTGTTTCACTCAACACATGCACTTTTATTGTGCCACACTACTTGCTGATGTACATACGGCAAGTGTGTCAAAAAAACACTTATCCTTATTACCATACTGCTAATCAAATATATGGCTGAGTCTTAAACTACATCTGAGTAACTATTTAACTATTTGAAAGTCTAGTAAGTTTGTGACATTAAGAAACCAACCTAAAGAAATCCCTGGAAGAACTGAGGAAGTAGAATGAATCCAAGTGATATCATAAGTACTACTGGGGGTAGGAAAGAGAAGAAAGTGAGTTTAATACTGAGGAAAAAAATGTTGACACCGTAATGGTCCTCTGACATAAGCAGTCTGGGAGATTAGATAGATAAATGTAAATAAATTGAAATTATTAGAGATTTTGGAGAATAATGGCTTCCCAAACTAAAGGCATTTCCTTAACTGTATATGATTCCTAAGCACGCCAGAGCCAAAGATCAACAGTGTCTGCAGTTTTCCATTCCTCCCAGGGCAGGAATATGCCTCCAGTTTTCAATTTAGCATCACTCTCAGTTGATAGGTAATACACAGATTCTGATAAAGTATGATTCAATTTATGTGCCCTAGTCCCTTTAGTGCTATTTGTAGGGCCTCTACAAGTATCCAAGAGAGAGCTGATTTAGTAGGTCTTAAAAAAAAATTGTGCAAAATCGATTTCATTATACTATAATTCTACCCTGCGCGTAGCGATTATGATGGATGCTAGACTGACAACGTCAAAAACTAAAGTTCCCTGTGCACAGAACAGCGTGGTTTGTTCATAGTCTCCTGACAGCTTCAGGGACAAACTGTAAGAATAAGTTCACTCTTCACACGGTAGGTTCGTAGATTTTTTCCTCAGACGACCGAAGACACGTCATTGTGATAGTGGCTTTTTTCATATGGACATCTGTCCTGCAGAAACTGTGCTGGGGCTACCAGCTAATTTCAGATAAACTACTGCAGCCACCAGCTGATAATGACTTCCAGTTGCTGTTGACCTTGGCCGTAGTTATAGCAGTGACCTAACGTAAATGAAAGGCTCAGTGCCTCATTACCAACCCCTGAACTGTCGAGGCCCATTATCTTATGGAGAAGTTTCTCCTTCTACAAATAATATTCAGACTTGCCTTCATGTAGAATAAAAAAAAAAAAATCACTCTGCTGTTTTTAGATGTTACAAAAGTCTCTGAAAGACTTCTTGTGGCTTTTTAATATTGATATAAAGAGGAATTTATATATTTCTCTTGGAAAGTTCTTCTCTGAGATGCGTACAACTGTGCAAGTCCTGGGCCTGTTTCCCTTGAACTCTGTGAGAACAGCAGGCTTTGACCTTAGGTCAGTGCAAGCTTGAGATGATAAATTAATACGCCTTTATATATAGCTAAGTCATCCAGAAGTTTTTTCCGGAGTAGTAACTCCGTCCCTCTTCTTAAAAGACGCTTGTGTCTCCTAATGGCTGTGCTTTCTGAAAGAAAGCTCCAACAGTGCTTCATTCAAAAATCACATCCCCTGGATATTTCTGGGAGTACAAAGAACGCCAGCTTTCTTTGGAAAGGCTGGAGTGTTTTTCATAACACTCCTTTTGAACTGAAGCAGTTTCCTTTCCTCTTGTACCAACCACCATACTAAAGCTTCTAGTGTTCCAACTTCAGCTTCTTAATAGCAAAAATACTTAAGCCTAGCCAAGCCTTATCCCCATCTGTGATAGAAAGAAATGCAGTAGATGTTTTCTTCCAAGGCCTCACAGCAGAGGGGTCAGCTGTGGCGCGATCACTGCAAGCTCCTGATTTTGGCCAGTGCCCCTCAGTTTCTCACAGAGTGACAGGGAGAGGTGGCTCGCTGCAAAAATGGCTGCATATCCTTTTTTCATACCACCCACTAGATGGTATGCAGTTCTTGCTGGACCACAAAAGCCTTTTGTGCAAGGTACAGTTAGCCCATCCTGCAAGTTTAAACCTCCTGTCTGCTCACATCATAGAACAGAGAGGCAAAACTCGGAGCATGAAGCAAAAGTCTATACCCTCCTGATCCAAACAAAGCCCATAGGTTTGGTTTAGTCCTGTCATCCTTGACGGTCCCTCAGACTTACTGTCTTGTGTGTGTCTTGAGCTGCTGACTTGGGGAAGAGCAGATGTTGGAGGTGAGAGCGAGTGTTTTCGAAAGGCAGAGGTAACGCTATCACCCGTGGCCAGAGCACAATGATATGCTTTTGATTTTGCTCACTGTTGCATATGCTAAAAATAAAAAAGGATATGATAAATTACCAATATTTTGCACTCCCCAAATCATTTAATTTCATCTTTCGCAATATAAAGAAAGAAAAAAAATCCAAGCTTTCTTTTTCAAAGGTGTTTTTAAATTGCTACTATTTGTTGTTAGCTTATTCTGTTATATTCAGGTTTGTCCTCATACTTCTTTTCTGAATGTGGATGTTTTTAGCTAAGGAGGAGTTTCTGTATAATTGTTGCTCAGAGTTTTTAATTAATCATGGTTTGACACGTAGCATTCTTTCTTCACTCACAAACTCTGATTAGGCAAGCAGGCATATCCTGGATTAGTATTAAAATACTAGCAGGGCATGCTTGGCACAGAGGAGAAAAGCCTGGATGTGCTTACTGAAGGTAATCTGAAATGTTATTTCAACAGATACAGTAAATGCATTGCATAGTCCCTGGAAACTTTCAAACCACCTAATCACTCCCACATCTGTCTCTCTCAGCCACTTGCCCACATGAACTAAATACATTGAAACTATCAGATCCACAAATACCAGTTGTCCATCTGGGTAGTTTCTGCTGCACCAAAAATTCACAGTGAGACTATTTACAATGCACTCCAATTTTGTGATATACAATTAATAAAACGAATCATAATAAATATCCTTTCATAAAGCAACTTAATAAATACTGATCTTGCAGAATCTCCATAAGGAGATAAAAGTGTTACGATTTACTTCTTATGAGTGGTGATAGAGCATTTCAGTGGCTTGTCTTATCAAGGTCATAGACAAAGTCTACGTCTTATGAGGTGGGAACAGAGATCACCAGTGCTGTGTCTGACCACCCATCACAGCACTTCAGTTAATATCCATTTTTAACATCTTCATCAAGTTGTAGTGTATCCCTCTTCCAAACAAAGTATTGCAGATCCTCCTGCACAGAAACACAGTAGAAAATGTCAAAAAACAAATCCAAACGACATTCTGACATTTAAATGGGAGAGTTAGCATGATATACAAAGATTTTCCTCACTTTCTTGTATCCCCAGTTTTCTGAGGGATAATAATCCAAGAACAATCATTCCATTCTCTGCAGCTCCCTAATATCTGTTTGTTACAGAAGGTTAGCACACAGAGAATACAAAATCATTTCAGCTAGTGCTGTGTTAATCCATGTTCCGTAAAATGAGAACACTTCCAATTACTTGGTATTTACTATCTAATTCTATTTTTTTCTCGTTCCTGTAGGACAAAACTTTGTTCCATCCGGTAAGCAACAGCTGCATAGATTGCAACCCAGCTGAGAAGAAGATTTTCATGAACAGATGTGATCCTTTATCTGAAACTCAACAGTGGATGTTTGAACATATTAATATGACTGTTTTAGAAAAATTTAACAGCAAGGCCAGTTCCTAGGAAAAAAGCAAACAAAACAAAAAAAGCCAATTACGTACAGACTGCAGACTACTTTTTTGCCAGCATCTGGGTCAAAGGAGTCAGGAATTACATTTCCTAGATCCAGGAAATCTATTCTGAGGCTTAAGAAAATGCCACAGCAAAAGCCAACAGGCTGTCCTTGTGGATGTACAGTATCTGAAGAACTTGGTTGGGAGCCTCACCGGATGCTGCTGAGAACTTCAGGCTGAAAATTCCCTTGCTGGTCGAGGGGAAACTTTGTTTAAAAATTATTTAAAAGTACTCCAAGTTAATAAAGTAAAACAAAACTCTAGAGTTTCTCAGGTCAAATCCTGCTGTAGTGAGTAGCTCAGAACAGATACTATAATTTGGGATGGGTATATGGTGTGCATGACCGCTGCAGGAACCTGAAGAAATCCCAGGTTTTAGAATTAAACATGCTGGTGGAAGAATAATGATGTCCCAGCACTCCCCAGACAAAATATATGCTCTGCTGACATTCTCTTAATAAAAGGTTGGGTTAAGCGGGTTTAACCCTCAGAACTGCTGCAATTAATTTTAAATACCTCCCTTTTACATTCCATTCATTACCTAAATAGGAATGGTAGAAATCTTAGGGTCTAGAATTACACTGTAGTGAAGCATGACATAAACTGTAAAGTTTTGACCTCCCATTTCTCCTCTTCAGTCAGGAAAAAAAGTAAAGCAATCAAGCTGCTGTACATGATGCGTTTATCAAAAGTGATTCAAATCCCACCGTCACACAAGCTGAGATTTTTTCAGTGACAAATATAACGTCAGCAACTTCAGCATAATGAAAGGTTTGTGGACTAGCTATCTTCTCTAAATGTAGGATTGTTACCAAAATTTAAATTGACTTGAACATAGTCTGGAAAAAAAAACCCATAAGACTAAAAAAATAATTCTATACTGCATGTTGAATTAAGTTAGTCAAATTAACATTGGTACACTGCCATCAGCTAAAAAAGTGTTGACTCCCTGCAGTGCAGTTTAAAAGATCTTGCAGAGATCATATGGCGTTTTTGACACCCGTGAGGGAAAATTTACGTGAAACTAGTTGGGGCTTCTCAGAGCTCTTGATGAAATCTGTGGTAGAAATCACATGAACTTCCAGAGTTATCAAGTTAATGGCATTATAAATTCCATGCTACAGGAAAAGAGAAGTGCAAACAAGTTAAATGTTACAGTATTTTGGCCCTTTAGGCACATTGACAATGCAGGGTAAGACAGAACTCGGTCACACAGAAGGTTGTTATAGCACATGGAGTCCCTCAGATCCATCTTGTTGCTGGCATGAGAGGAAGGAAGTTAATGTGTGGTCAAAAACTTGTTTGAGAGGCCTGTGGTTCTATCTCATCAGAACTTATTTAATACTGATGTGTGGAACATAATTGGCAGGTTTGAGATTTTTCAAGCTGAGAGTACATACAAATTTTTATGTGGCCTGCTTTTGCTTGAAACATGAACTTACAGATGAAAGTACCATAAATGCAGATAGATCACATCCTGTAAGAGATGGCTGTAACAATGCTTTCAGGTTGTAAAAATATTGTAGGTAATTAACTCGTTTATTCTGATCACTGTGGAGGTGGCTGACTAATCAAAACACCCATGTGTAAACTACCCTGTTTTGAGAGAGTAGGGTGACTGTTTTGTTTATTGCTCCTTAGGCTGCATTTATGTGCAAAGAGCATCTATTGCCTCCAGAGGATGGTTCTAGTAGCAATAACCATGTGCTGTTTTATGGCAGCACCTTGTAGTTGCAGATTAAGACCCTAAATTGTACGTCATAGGAACTTTTTAGGAGGGGAATGATATCTTGAAGGATTCAGGATGCATGCAGTTGGAAAACTGTGAAACGCATCCATACGTTGAGCAGTTGCTGCAAGTTAGTGAAGAGATATTTCAAATAATCAAAAAGAAATATGTCTATAGAGTTAGACTGCTTATTTTTTGTTTTTAAAAGAAACCAATTTGTTTAGGTATTGTTTGAATTTAAATGAAGATATGATGCACTGAAGAATGGAAGTAGTACGGCAGTAGCCTGTATAGGGATATTTCAGATTTATTTAGCTATCAGTATACAGAACCAGACTGGGTACTGCAGACAGTCAGCCTTCCCAGGTGCGGTGCTTGTAGCATCATTTATGTGCAGCCTGAATATGAGGAAAGAGGATTTGGAAAAATGGGTGCCTGAAATGTAAATGAAATCCTCAAGCTGCAAATTGAAACTGGCCCCAAACTGTCAAAGTCCTGGAAGCAGCCTTGTATGTCTGAAATTTGCTGAGAGGCAAGAACTGCTAAACCAGCTAAGTAATTTATATTATGCACAGATTGGTAGGGTTGTATCATCCAGTGTCTGACTGCATCTCAATGATTTGATTTTGCATTGTCTAACGGGAATTAGATGCTGTTGGGGCAAAGATATTCTAAGCCTTTTACAACCCTTTTTGAGTAATATTGCACAAAATCTTGCACTGCCAAAGGAAACCTTCCCATTACTCATAGTTGGATGCTAATTGTAAGCTCTAGCAGCCTTTGTAAATTCTGTAATTTATCACAAAACAGTCCACATTACTGATATTCAGGTCTTTTGAAAACATGTGTTCTGAATAATGTTGTTTTCCGTTTTTACAGCCAAAATATAGGGAAAATATATTAAAGCCTGTTGTGTGTCAACAGTGAGCAACTTTTGATCAGTAGGGAAATATAAAGCTCGAATCAAGGGCCAGATCTTGAGAAAAATTTAATGAGAACTTGCCATAGTAGAAACACACACACATATACACACACACACGTGCGCACGCATGCGTGTGTGTGTGTGTGTGTGTGTGTGTATGTATATGTAACCAGTGGAAGAAGATAGATGTGGAAGAGAGGCTTGTTTTCACTTCATGGGCTGATATTCCAAGTATTTAGTATCACCACAACTGCACAGAAAAAATAGCATTCTCCAGATAGGACTCAGCCTGAAAATGAGCACCATTATCTTACTATTTTCAGCTTAAATAAATTTATCTTTTTTAAAACATGAGACAGAAATTCTAGCATGGAGCTTCACCACGGACAATTATAATCATCCTACTGTAGGTAGAATGTAACCTAGGGACAAAGATCTCAAAATGGTTATGACTTACTAAGCCCAGGACTCCTTCAACAGAAAGTTTTATTAAGAATATATGATCATCCCTACCTCTAAATTAAATTCTGTCTTGGGTATTCTCCAAAGCTTCCCACTGATAGCAGCATTTCATGACTAATTTAACATTCAGAATTTCTATAAGGCTTCCTGCAACCACAACTTTCTCACCCAGAAAACATCTGCACAACTCAAAAGGTAGGATAGACCGATAAATTTTCCTCTCATATTTAACGAGGAGGATTTAGCTTCAACATGCATTTTTCTAAAATGGCAGACTATATATTCACAGACAATGTTTCAAAATACCAGATAGTTCTGAATATACGTTGAATCTAGTCCTCAGGTAGCATAAACTGATGAAGGGCTGTAATTTCAGTGGAGCTATAACAATCTGTCCCAGCTGATGACTTGCCTCAGTCTTTCATTACATTATTTTATGGCTAAGAGGGCTTTAATCTATGTACCTGTAAACAAGATCTTTATATCTTAATTAAGAGTTCATCAGCATCTACCCGTAACTTTTTTTGATGTAAGGTTATCTGACTCTTTTTGTGGTCTGCGAATACTATGGGATATAACAACTGCAAAACCTGAAATAAACACCAAGTACAACTAAAACTGTAAAGTCAAATATATTTCCCTGCAAATATTGCAAAAACTAGAAGCCTTAGGGCTGGGGGTTTGTAGGAGAGAGGACGAGTTGGGAAAAAAGGCATTTCACAGAGACAGGTTGGAGAGCAGTTGTGTTGCAGCCTTGACAAGAATTCACTTTTCATTAACCATGATCTTATTTCAGAAAAATGAGATTGTTTTAGAGCAAATGTTTCAGCAACGTCATGGATATTCTAATGATATAATGCATACTTCTTATCTGAGTATTATCAGTTTATGGATAAATGGTCTGTAGCTGCTGAACTAGGTCTTCTTCATGATAGAGATAGACTAAGCTTGCAAGGAAGCTGACAAGCACTTAAAAACCTTTGATTACTGGCAATTTACCAGTCATCAGTCTCAAGTGACCTCAGTGAAATTGGATGCCACAGAGGACCATAAAAGAAAGATATATAAATAGCTTAACCAAATTTATTTGATAGGTTGAACCTCTTTAAGAGTAGCCAGCTGTCACCTTTATAAAAAAGAAAAAACAAATCATTGTAATCAGGATTACGTTGCGTTTTTACTGATAACTTTTGCAAGGGACTGACAGAGTGATGCCCTTTCAATCTGTCCAAACAAATCTCGAATGAAGCACTTTAGGAAGGCAATGCAGGGAGGCTTTCAGCGTGGCTGCTGCAAAGACTATATCCATTTTCTATGTGAAGAACATCAATCTTTGATGCTATGAGCCTGGCATTTTTCAAGAGAACAGAGGACACACATTGAAAACAAATATGAAGATGGAAATATTTTCTGACTCCCTCAAGGTGATTAGACAAACTGTTTCAAACCTTGAAAACAAAAGGCTGATCACAAGTAACCCCAAACCTCCTCTGCTGTTAGGCATATAAAGTTCATAAATTTGTTTAACTCCCTTCCAAATCTGTTCCATATATCCTCTTACAAAGAGCACAAGGATCCCAAAATGCTTTTTCATAACATTTTGAGGATCTTACCCTATCTGAAAGGAAATTTTGAAAGAACTTTTAAAGATTATATGAGGTGTAAGCAAAAAGATATCAGGAGACATACCTGGTTATTATGTTCTGTGTGCTAACAGACTTTCCTAAACTTCTTGTTCAAAAATAGTAGCCATTGCCTGGAAAAATTTAGATACTTAAGTAATATAGCTTAGACAATCTATAGCCTGTAATGCTTTCTATTTCTAGTCTAAAACAAATTCAGTTTTTAGTGACTCTGTAGTTAGTTGCTGACAGATTTTTTTTAACCATGTATAATACATAAATATGCCATGAGGTCTACTGTAATCTGACATTTCCGTGTTATAATTCTCAGTGCACTGGACTGAAGACAATCTAAGCAGAGAAAAAGCTCATAAAACAGTCTAACAAGTGCATAAAAAAACAAGCAAACAGTGACAAAGTTTAGCTAGAGGTGAACTGAAAAATATTTCACATTTCCAAAACTTCTTAAGTATCATTGAGAAGATTATATGTGTCCTGTGTTTATAAGGTTCCCATCCTCTCAGCATTTTTACCCATTTCACAGGACCTGATAGTATGAGAAGTGCTTCATTGGCCTTTGTGAAAACAATGCAGACAATAGGGGAATAAAGATGACATGGCTTAAAACAATAAGAATATGTGGTTACCTACTGATGCCATGTCCACAGCATGGTCAAACAGGTTAAGTATACATGAAGATCTGTTTCTTGTGTGTGGCTATTGTGGCATAAGCACAGCCAGAAGTGGTGTGTGGAAAAAAAAGGAGCCTCATGAACTGGCCGAGCAGGAAAGGCCTTATCTCAGAGAAGAGCCAGAAAAAGTCACAATGACCCTTTCTTGAGAGGCAGATGAACAGGGTATTGAGACTGACATCGTGAACAGCGTAGGTGATGTGAAGGGAGCTGCAACAAGACAAGTCTCGTAACTCCTACTATCTAAAAGACATTAGTAATGGGAAAGAAAAACTTGGTCCTCATTCATTAACCTTCATCCTCCTTAACCTCAGCACAATTCCTAACCCTTTGCCAAAGCATTAGTTGATTTAATTAAGTTAATCCTTCACCTCTCCCAATAATTGACTTCAAGCTTGAAGGAGTCACAGCCCAAGCAAATTTCTGCTCCTCAGCTTGGAGCATCTAGCTGGCTCTACTAGGCACAGTTTAGCCAAAAACCCCAAATGGCACCAAAGCTAGAACAATATTATCGACCTGAAAGATCTGTAGGTGCCTTACTATCCATCTGTGAAAAAAGGTCTCACTAGCCTAAAGGAGTGGTTGATAGTAATGATCCTAGATTAAGAGGATCAGGAGTCATGAGCCTGCAGTAAGGTGAAAGGCCAAATGGCAAGATTATGACATGGAAGCTTAGTTGCGAAAGGAAGGAGGAAATAGGTGATAAGCAGGAAGAAGCAGGAGTCAGGCTTTTTACTGGATATGAAGGAAGCATGACCTACAAAGGCCGGTCACTGATAATTTTGGATACCTCTCCACATCAGTGCTTCCATGTTCATTCCCTCACAAACGTGCAGGAGTTGAGAAGCAATCACCCCCCCCTCCCACCCACCCACATACCAAGGACTTAAATTTAGAGTAAAGAGAAATACATGATCTGAAATGTACTGCTGGTGAGATATGGGAGAGCAGCTAGAGCAAAACTTTGTTGGACACTAAGCCAGAGCTGAGTTCCCCACCTTAGGTAGGTATGTTACTGAAGGTACTCTGCATAGAAGCCTTTCATCAGATAAGCCTGGTGTTTCTGCTGTTGCAGATCCCTTCCCCAAGATAACAGTGACTAAAGCTACTTTAGTCTGGAGCTGGCAGACCCAGGAGTCCTTCTGCCTCAGGGGCTCGTCTTGCTGCAGCTGGCACTGCACTGCTCTAGCACAGGGAGTGGTGGAGGAGAATGGCGTGTAAGGAGAAGGGAGAGGGCCCATCCACAGAGGTCAGTCTCACTGCAGATTTTGCCCGTGGTAGAGATACAGTTCGTAGCACAGACAGACAGACATTCAATGACTTCCTTCCAGGAGAAAAATTCCATTGTTCATCTAATTTGCCACCCAGCTTCAAAATTCTGTTCTACCCAGAAAGGGGATTATGTAAGAACAGAAGCTTCTTATTCTGTAGATATACTTCTTATGTATGTTTAGAAGCAGCTGAACTTAAGCTTGATAAACAGGTTTTAACTGCTTTTATTCTTATCAAATTAACGTAGATACAAGAACCTGAGTTAGAATAATGTTAAATTAAAATGTAGTTGTATAAGCCACCAAAAGGTTATAACATTTCTGATTGAAGGCTTTATTTCAAATCTAAATTTGATATGTATTCTCTAATGAATGCATGATATAGGTTCCCCTCTGGTCAAGCTGCAGAGAGTATGAGGGGCTATTTGTTAACAGAATCCCCAAAAGAGAGTTATCATTGAACATGCAGCAGCTTTTGCTTTTAGCTGTAGAGGTCCTCAGTTTACTCCCAGGTGTATCAGCAAAGATAATATATATAAAAAGAACTCCCCGAGATTCTTGTTATCAAAGCTGCATTTGCAGAGACAGCGGTAAAACATGATCTTTTTTTCCTTATGAGACCAGAATACTTTCATTTGTTTCCTATTTGTTTTTATGCATCTCCAGTAACATTTATTTCTAACTGGAACCCATGAATAGAAACTGTACCTTGTCCCTCCACTAAACAAGAAGTCAGAGTTGCTAAGAAGTTAGGGTACCAGTATGAAGTCTATATAAACGCATTGTTAAAAGAACTGTCAGCCAAGGAAGGAGGATTCCTTATAGGAGCAAAAGAAGCCGCTCTAAAATTCAGTTTCCTTTATTCCTGTTATATCAGCCTCCAAATCACAGCCACTGCTCTACAACTAAATATATCATGGTAGTTTTTACACCTGGAAGGATAATGATGTTTAGTTAGGGCTCTGCTGGCATTTTTCTGTATGATTCTCTGCATATTGTCTATATAAAACATTCTTTGTTTCAGGGAGTCTTCATCCACGGTTGCTGTCCCTGCAAGGGGACATTTTCCTTTCAACTTTGGCCTCGCTTGTTGTTCTCCATCTGACCCTCTATAGGCCAAAGCAGCTCGATACTGACCAACTGTCCAGATGATCTGGTCCACTGTACAACTTTCTCTCAACTCACTCTTCACAGCAGTCCAGCCCACAAAAACTCACGCAGAGTTACCAGGCGTTAGGTAACCAAACAGAAATGTGCAGTCCGTTCTGAGCCTCTGAGATGTTTCTATTTACCAAGTAGCCTTTCTGATGGTCAGAGTGATTTCCAGGCATCTCTGTGAACAAACACCTTTTCCTGCAGGTATCCTGCAAAATATCCATTCCTCTCATTTTTCTGAGAGTCTGGAATACAGCCTTCACTTGCTGTTAAACAACATTCAGGACAAAACAGTCTCTGGAGATTCAACCAGTGTTTTTTAAAGGGCCAAGAAGGATGGCTGGGGACAACTTTGTGTAATCCCAAACAAGTATGCTTGGTAGACAGTGCAGCCAGTGATGATCTGGGCTGTTAGGTGGGTGATAGAGTTCAATCAACAGGTAAGACAGAGTTGTCTAATTTTCTGGGAATTAGGATAAAATTCTTTGGTTAGATGTTATTTAGGAACTATAGCTCTCTGAAAAAATGGGAAAATATTTTCAGGTGTGTGCATTTGAAGTATTATACAATAGGCTATAATTAGTAACATATACATTGTAATAAGTAAAACAAAAACATACACTTTTGTGCTAACTGGTCTAAGATAGTTGGCTTAGGTGTTAATAAACAACAGCTGTAGAAGTCTTGACCAACTTACTGATGCATTAAAGTAATGTTTTAGTGACATGCTTAAAGGATTTACAGAGAGCACATGCCTGTAAATTACTAGACTGTAATTAAGGACCTGAATTATGGAATAAACATTGTACACCTGTCCTATTTTATATTTGGATGTATTAAGTTATGGAATACAAAGTAAAAGATTGTTAAAGTACAGTTTCAAAAATTACAGTGATCTGAATGAATAAATACCTCTCAGAAGTTACAATATTAATGTTTGCAATTTGTTGTGCCTCTGTTGAAGCCAAAAGAGCCTGCTGGGTCGAGTGGGTGAAGAACCCAACAGCCTTGGGCTGAGTACACTACTGTGTGGCTGCTCCACAGCTCCGGCTCAAGCAGCTGAGTTGTATCGATAGGAGAGAACCCCAAATCTTCTCCTCCAACAAATGCCTGCCTCACCAGCGCCAGGTGAAAGAGCCATTGTTAGCTCTGACAATATCAGAACTATATCTTGAATGGTTACTTAAACAAGAGCCAAAAACAGAAATGAGTACATACACACCCTTACTTAGTACGCAATTGTACGGACATATAATAGTGGTCAAATGACAAGCAAAGAAACATTGAAAGTGTCAATGAGGACTTGATTCTATTAAAAAGTTATGTAAGTAGAGACTTATTTGTCCCCATCCCGTACCAAAAAAACCCCACAAACACACAGAAATTCCCAATACAACCGACTCTTGCTTTTGTGTACAACTGATAAGATATAAAATACATTATCTTCCTAGTTATTACCTTCCTTGCTTGCTTATTGAAAGTGAGCACCTGCACTGCAGAAATTTTAAAGCTATATCCAGGAAGAGTGAGAGTCAGTCATCTACAAAGACTACACAGGGAGGGGTTTCTCATTACCTGTTATTTATCCTTCAGGGAACGCTGCTTCTTTTTTATTTGCATTTGTTTGCACTCTGTAACTTAATTTTATGCATACCCATACACTTCACTTCTTCAGTGCTATACTTCTATCCTAAAATTTTCTGAATGACATTGGTTGGTTAAATTCATTCCTTACTGCCGCTATGTTTGGCAGAGTTATGGTAGGATTTAACTGGACACAATCTATTGTTTTTATTTCTTCAAGCAGCTTTCTGAGGCTGCCGTTAAGGCTAACATCATTGGTTTTGAAGACCTCTGAATGTCATAAGTAGCAAAAATAGGACAACTGTAAGCATGCATTATAAATAAGTGACTGTTCTTTGTCTAGCTAGCTTAAAAGGGTGCTGTAGTCCAACGCAAAGCTGAAAACCTCCCCAGCTGCAGAAGAGAGACAGCAGTATTCCACTTTCCACGTAAGTTATGTGAGACGAGTTCCACTGAGTAAACCTTAGGAAATATCCCCCAGGAACTACCATAAACTCAAATAACAGCAAAAACAACATCAACAACAACAAAATATGAGTGAGGGGGATTTTCTGACTAACAAAACAGCTACAAAAAAACTCATACCAGATCCCAAGGAGACTGAAGTCGTTAACGTTATAGGCACTACCCTTTGGCAAAGGAACAACTATGAACAAAGAAAAAATATTATTAAAAGAACAATAAAGTGCTTTAGATACATAAAAAACAATTAGCCATCAGTTTTAACATAGCCTAAAGTTAAGCACAGTAAAACAACAGATGATTCTCCCGTTTATATAATTTAAAGTTCACAGCCTGGGGAAGGTACTATGTTTAAAAGACTAGAGAGCCTTGTGTGAATTTTGTATCAATTATCTAATTAACTTTGATAACATCAGATGCAAACCTTCAAGGGAAAAGAGCTTTAAAGGATTTTTTTGCAGGTCAGGACATTTCAAGAAAGTAACAAGACTTGAAGCAGGGAGAAGTGGAAAGAGGAAGGACTGTATTTCATTCTGAAACGAGTGGCTTGTCCCTCATCGCGGTGTTCGTGGTTTTAGGAGGAAGAAAGTTCAGTAAAAGTTCCTGCTGCAAATTTATCAGCACAAACCTAACTGCAGGTTATGTGGTGATCCAAGCCAAGGCCAGCTGAAATCAGTGAGAACCTTTCCATTTATTTCAATCAAACTAAGCCTTTAACTTAATAGAACTCTTCTCTTTTGAAAGCTTTAACTCAGTAAAACTCAGCCTGTTCTCTGCGTAGCTATTCTGACTGGTTATAGAGCTAGATGGCTCGTAACCTGCAGTGTGTTAAAAGTAATATATAGGAAATACAGAAGATTAAACTGTTAGCCAAGAAACATGCACATAAATGGTACAAATTTAAAATAAAGGCTTAATCTGGGGCAAAAATTTTAAGGGTAACCTCTATGTAAGCATCATCAGTGAGTACTAAGTACATTAATACAACCAAGTGGAGCTGACAGTTTTGTCTCACATATTTCTTTACTTATTTTAAAAAGGAGAGTTTTGTACTACTTCCATACTTTCTGTTCTTCTTCTTTTTCAAGCGACCTGAATGTTAATTGAAAGGTATATATTCTCCAAGGGAAATTCTGACTTTATAAAGCAAAGACATTATCAGTTCCTCCACTGTGCCCAAGATGAGATTGGTGTGATTGTTATTGCCTCCTTACTCCTCATTTTTTAGTATGAAGTGCTCGTTCTCTAAGATCACTCAGGAGCCTTTCCTATTCTTTAGTTCTGATATCCTATTTGCTGCCCTTCTCCTTCCTATCGCTTCAAAATGCAAAATTTCAGTGCAGGAAGAGCACATTAAGGAGGCTTCTACTTCAGCTCTTCTTTTAATTCAGGGTGGCAGTCAATGCTGTGCATTTGACTGCTGGTCTGGAAACGGGAGTAATCCAAGCCAGGCTTCACCACCAGTTCATGCACCAGCTCTGTACACGAGCTGCTCATTAGCTCAACGGTAGCATTTACACGGTTGCTTTGCTGACCTGTAATTCCCTACGGAGGTCTGTGAAATCTCACCCATGCGCACCATTGCTATTGCTATAGCTGTGGTCAACAAACATCCAGCTGGGCGTGGAGTCGTCTTGCACACTTGGTCCACGGCAGCCTCTTCTCCTCAACCTGAAAAGGGAATCGCTGTGACTTTTTAGGCTGAAAGCTTTGGGGAGCTGGAACAGAAGAGAGCATCTGCTCAGATGGTTGTGTTTCTGTGGTTGTACAATTTGCAGGCTTAATGAGGAAAAAAAGTCTTTTTTTTTTTTTTAACCACAGTCTTTTATGAGACTTTCGCTACTATGCTTTTTGAGCATGTTTCCCAGTTCGGAACAAGTAAGCTTACACTTTAAGGACTTGCAGGGTAAACTTTTATTCTAGTTGGGATGGGCGACAAAACTGACATGCAGAAGGAAAGTGACAGACAGACCGACAGACAGACAAGCAGGAAGAACAGAGAAAGCGCAGCCAACGGCACTACCCCAGGAGTGGTACCTACAAGCGAACGGCTCGTTGCCCTCTGTGGCAGGAACGGGCTTAGCAGCTGCTGCCAGACCTAGACCAGGAGACCAACACTGTATCCCAACTCCTGGGTTATCCCAACCTCCTTGGAACTTGCCAGAGCCTGCATTGAGCCTGGCTGATGCATTGTAGGTGCATCTCTTCCCTGACACCCTTGCTTCGGCTCACCGGCACCCCAGCTCGTGTGGGTGTCCCTGCCAGCACCAGCAGGACCACGGGGACGGCAGCACAGGAGCCGGGAGGGGATGGCTGCCACCTGTCTACTCCAGAGCAACCCCAGTGCTAGCTCCTCACCTGTCCTGCGCAGCCACTGCTGTCCCACGGGGCACACGTGCACCTCACAGGCTTGCGCGCAATTTCTTGAGCCGCTCTGATTCAGGGGCTCCTGTTTGCACTGCCGAACTAGGGACCAGCTGCGGCTCCACCTCTTCGATGCCAAGAAACCTGCGTTGACAGCCCTCTGGGAGGACGCGTCGCTGACTCTCCATGCACTGGGACATGCAACCAAAGGGAAGCTGTGCCAACCCAAAACCAGACTGCCGGACTGTAATGCTACAGGTCAGTGACTAAACTATTTGACGGTGGCCAGTTGTAAGGGAGCTTCTGATGTCATTTGCTTCGGCCTGAGAGCAAGAACCATGCATTTAACTGTTCCCGAAATAACTGCTAAGTTGGGGAAGGAAAGGTGGGGAGATAGGGGAGGGTGGGAAGACAAAATTGCCATGTGATTCACTGAGGAGTCAAATGTTTCAGCTTCCAAGAGCTCGTGAATGTATCACCAACAAGGGACACCAGCTGACTGCTATGCAGGTCTTGATCAGCCATCGAGAGAGGACTATAAAAATGCATGGCAAGCTGCATGACCTTTTGCTGCTGCATTTACTGGCTACAATTTATTTCCTCCAGATTGCGTGCTACTAAATAAAGGTCGGTGCCCCTGCCATACTAGGAGAATCTGACCTGCTTTCCAGGTTTCCAGGTCAGATTTCTTGAGCTCAAGAATCACCAGCCCGCCATATCTGCATGCTGACCACTTGGTAAAGAGAGAGGTGTGATGTGTGCTTTGCTGAGTAGAAGCAAAATGGCACGGCTTCCACTTCCACCTGCATATCAGCGTACGCAATGCTGCTATTTGTGTCGCTGCTATGTCCTTTGCGATGTCTGCCAAGGTAAGAAGACACTTTCCTTGCAGTATAGGCAGTACCAGTAGTCTCTTAGGCTGATGGGCAACAAGGGTGAGCCACAGGAGAAAAAAAAATTAGTAGCTCCATGTGTGTTGGCTGATAGCATGTCTGGAAAAATATGATGTTGCATGGTGGTTTGGCATATATTTCTCACGAAACATTTTTGGTGTAATTGCAAGAGAGTTTAGTACTTTGTTATAAGCTTTGAGCACAACTTCTTGCCTCTTCTATCTTTCTGACATACCTTTTACATTAAGAAATACAAAGCACTAGAAGAGCAAATATTGTATTAGGAGCTACCACGTTTTGGTAATCTTCCACTAAGTGCAGAGCGAAAAATAGAAATTTCAAGTCATTCATGTTTTTTACATAGAGGAATCATACTGCTTGGTTGTTACCTCTGATAATTTTGTATGCAAATTGGAGATTTACAGGGTACACTTTCTCCTTGCTTCGTGCTAGAGTGGCTCTGCTCTGGTTAAGCCCTAACCAGTAGCAGCTGAAGGAGAGATTCCCCCTTCCCCCTGCCCCAGGCTTTCTGCTATTGGTAAGAGTGAGTGGTGCTGAGCCTTTGTTCCCTGCAAGAACTCTTCCTTCTTCATCAGCTTTTCATCTAACCATTTATTGAG